CTGGCGGAGGTGCGCCTTGTCGGAGGAGATCGCCACCTGCGCACGGCCGTAGCTGGCACGGGCCGCGGCCTGCAACTCTGCCTGGCTACCAAGAAGCTCTAGCGCCGCGGCCTCCTCGATGATCTCGGGGGCGTCGAAGTCGTCGATGTATACCTGCCACCAAGATGCAAGGACGGGCCCCTGCTTAGCAAAAGCGAGCGGCCGCACCGTGTCCTTCCGCCACTCTGCCTCTGGTGGTAGGCCCGCTCCGAGCGGGGGCGGAAGCCGACACAATCGCCGATGTATGTGCTGGAACAGCGGCACGGCGAGCATCCAACCCATCGAGATGACAGCTGAGGCGACGAAGACCCGCGGCGCCGCGCGCCCAAACAGGTCGCCGCGCAGCGCCTTGCCCACCGCCATGTGAGCATGCCAGCAGCGCGGGATCCGCCACACAAAGAAGGCCCCCTTCTGGTCATCGCCAGACCACAGCAGCAGGGAGCCCTCGGGCAGATGAAGGGTCGTCCACCCCGTCGACGCCGCGAGTGTAGACGCCTCACCGACGAACGGCTTGAGGAGCGAGTTGCCTGGGACCATGTTGAGGATGAGCCTGGTGACCCGCTCGGCCCCTGGCCCAGGCGCTCCCTTCTTCTCGACTGCGAAGAGGCCGTTGAGGAGCGGAGCGCCCCGCACCTGGAACACCTCATGCGGCTCAAGCACCGTAAAGATGCCCAACTTCACCAAATGCACCGCGAGGGCCTCCCAGTCGCTGTCAGAGATGACGTTGACCCGCGCCCTCGGGAGCGGGTTGGGCCACTCGGCCTCGGGCTTCAGCGCCACCGAGGGGTCGTTCAGCCAGGCGCCGATGTCCGCATCCACGAACTCGCACGCGTCCAAGGCGCCTGCGTGCTCCGGCTGCGGCAGGCCCGGCTTCAGCTCCGCGAGCACGCACGGGAGTGCCTTGACCGTGGGCTCCCCGCTGTAGTCGATGGCCGCGTGCTGGAGGGCGGACGACAACGCGGGCACCTCCACGCTCGCGAAGGGGTCCTCCGCAAAGACCTCGGCCCGCGACAGGAGGTGCGCCATGGCCTGCCGCTGCGCCAGCGTGAGGGACCCCTCGTGCTGCCAAGTGGCGGTCGCCCGCCCGCAGTATATGCGGTTCAGGCCGAGCACCTCCATGTAAAGCCAGCACTCCACCATGACGGACCTGGCCACTCCTGCGAGACGGCACCTGCCGCTGCGAGGGCCGCATCGGCTGCGAATCCATCGCCTCGCCAAGGAGAGAGAGGGCAGGGGCAGCGGGGGGACGTCACGTCCCCGCACCCCGCTCCCCCGCCTTGTGGACGTACGCATCGTGAACTCCCTAGCGAAGGCGCCCAGACCCCCAGGGTCCGTGATGGTAAGGCCCAGCAGCGTGACCGACAAGTCCACGGCAGTGAGGCTCGACCCGAAGCCGACCGTGACCACGCGCTGCCAGTCATGGAAGTCCGAGGTGGTGAACGAGTCCTCGCCTGGAAGGGGGCCTGGAGGGGCCTCGGCCGCGCCGACTAGGCCATCGGCCGCTGCGCTGCCCCCAGAGGCGCCCGCGCAGGCCAGTCGCCCCCCAAGAGCACTCGCTGCGGGCGGCGAGGCGACCGCTACCGCAGCGTCGGCACGAGGCTCCGCAGGCGGGCATCGTACGCCTTGACCGTCTCGCCAGCCTTCTTCGGGTACTTCGCCTTGGCGTCCTTCCAGGGCCGCGTCAACACGACCGAACGGGCTGGGGCTGCCGACCTGTCGGCCAGCATGCGGTCGGCCTCCGCGGAGCCCGCGGCCGCTGGCTGCCTCTGCGCCGGGGCCTGCGCTGCGGCAGGGGGCATCCCCCCTGCATGGCCAGCAGGGCGAGGGGGCAACGCCGAACCCACCTCGCCCCGGCCGACGTGCTAGCCCTGAGGCTTCTGCCGCAGCCGCGAGGCGAGCTCCTCGAGCTTGAGCTCCCCGTGCTGGATGCTCCTGATCATCTCCTCCTCCTCGTTGCGCAGCGCGAGAGGCTGGTCCCGCGGCGGTATCAGCTCGAGCCACTTCGCCGCCGACCAGCTCCCGTCCCCGACAGCCACCTGGATGGCCTTGAAGCGCTGGGCCAGGATGTCGGCCACCGCGGCCGTGCGCCCCTGCAGCAACAGGTCCAGCGCCTCCGCGATCGTCCGCAGCTCGCGGTAGATCTCGCCCCCTATCTCCTTCACAGGGTGCTGCGGCAAGTAGACCGACAGGAGGAACCGAAGGACGATCGGGCCATGCGGATCGACCGACCCGCCGCCGTCCTGCGACCCCAGGAACTCTGCCATCTGCGCCAGGCTCAGCTCCGCGAGTCTGCCTGGGTGCTCGAGGGCCAACCTCCTGCAGTGGGCCCGTCGAGACGCGAGGCCCTTCGGCAGCAAGTCGCCCTCGGCGGTGGCGACACCACCGTCGCCGCCGAAGGACGGGTCGTCGGACGACCTGGACGCGCTCTGCAGCGCCTTGAGGAGGGCCGTCAGCAGCTCCTACACGCCAGCTCCGCCCTGTCCAGCGGCGGGGGCGGCCGCCTCCGCCCCCTTGGCGTCCTCGGCCGAGGCAACTGCTCCGACCTTCGCCGCCTTCCGCACGCGGTCCTCGAGGACCTCGGCAAGCGACCGCTGCGGTGGCGGCCCGCCCTGCCGCGGGACCTTCGCGGGCGGCTCGTCGTCCAGGGCAGCGACCGCCTCCGCAGCTCCCGCGGCGGCCCGCCGCTGCTGCTGAAGCCGCGCGAAGCGGTCCTGCGCTGCCTCCAGCTTCCCGCGGAGGCTGGCACGGCGGCTGCCCCCATCCGTCTCGACAACGTCGCCGCTCCAGAGCTCGTCCAGCCCTGGCTGCTCCGACGCAGCCGGCCTCCTGGCTGGCGCCTCCGCCGGCACCCCTCCAGCGAGCCGCGGCCCGAAGAGGTCGGCGGGCCAGACCGCGTCTGGGTTGTCCGAGAGGAACGCCGCAAAGACCTCCCGCAGCTCGTCGGCCGAGACGGGGGTCGCGTCTGTGATGTGCACCAGCTCTGAGCAGCCCCGAGGGGGCTGGACCTGGCACGGCTGCGTCCGGCACACATGGACGAGGGGCCGCGCAGTCACAGCCCCGCGCTCGCCTGGGTTCGACGCCCACCAGTCCCAGTACGGGTCGTCTGAGAAAAGGAACCTCGGCCTGGCGTACGTCTCGACCCCGACCGAGAGGCGAAGGGCGACCCACGTGAAGCGGCACTGGACGTCGCCCTGGGCATTGTAGCCAGTCGACGAGTACGCCTGGCCTTCGACGAGCCGCAGCTCCTCGGCGGGGACAGGAGGCAGTCCACCGCCCTCCCCGTCCAGCTCGTCGCCCGACGGGGTGTACAGCTGCGCGCTCCCGTCCAGCTCCTCGTCCTGATCTCCGGCCATGAGAGGGCACTTGCGTTCCCAGCGCCGTCTCTCTCCTGGGAGTCCCCACCCCGACCTGGGGCGGACCAGGTCGGAGCCGGAGGAAGCAGACGAGGACCTCGGGCGAGCACCAATGCAGTGAGGTGTCGGCTCGCCCGAGGCCCCCCAAAACCCTGCAAGCCTTGGAAAGAGGCTACGGAAGGAGACGGCGTTCAACGATGCCCCCAAACAGTATTGCCTTACACAAGCGTAAACGGTCATACCCGACGGCGGGGTATCATACTTGTATACACAATGTCGGCGTTTGCTTATTGAGATCCGTCCCGATTCTGCCCTGGGTGTCTAGGCTATGAGACCCCCACTGAAGGTGGCCGACTCGGTCAGGGCATGGTCGCTGCATGCACACTTCACCCCAGCAAGCAAAGAAGCTTTGACCAACCATCATAGATGGGAGGTCCCGTCCATGAATAAGAAACGTGCCGTCGAGGCCGCCAAGAAGCCCCAAGAGAGCCTCAAGAGGCCCTCCAAAAAGGCCATTACAATCAAACATCGTCCCATTCCCAGAGGAACATGTACACTTCCCGCATGAACGGCGTTTCGAGTTTCACAGCGCCTCAGACTACGCAAATAGCCCCCAACATCGCCCCGAGACAGCCCAACAATCCGCTAAAATCGGCCCAAGACGGCCCAAGATAACCCCAAGACGGCACAAGAGAGCACCAAGACCGCCCAAGAGGCGCCCAAAGGGGGATTCTGCCCCTAGGAGCACCTCAGAAGCCACCAACATCCCGCCAATAAGTCCCCCAAGACGCCCCAAGAACCACCCAAGAAGCCCAACAAGAAGCCCCAACGACCCCCAAACGGCCCTTACGGGGCCTCAAGAGGCTTCAACACTGCCTCCAAGAGGTTCCCGAGACGCCTGGCAAAAGAACCCCCAAAGCGCCGCATTGACACCAGGCCCTCGGGCAAACGGCAGACATGAGACTGTATGGGCCGGCAGAATGAGCGAAGCGATTAAATAAGAAACCCGAATGACTTGATGGGACCCCCAACCTACCGAGGCTCACGAGGCGGGCGCCGACCCTCCCAAGGAGGTACATCGGCTTTCGCCTTTTCTACATCACAACACGATGTGAACACTGGTCTGTGAGTCGTCTCCGAGTCGTCTCCTCCTCCTCCTCCTCCTCCTCCTCCTCCTCCTCCCACTCCTCGTCCGCCTTCCTGTCCTCCGTCCCGTCCTGTCCCCAGCTCTGGGAAAGCTGGGGGGCCCTCGGAGCACCAGGGGTGGCTGGGGACCCCCCGCTTGCAGAGAAGGAAGGGAGGCGGCTGCAGGGGGGGCCTGGACTAAAATCTCCGAGGAGGGGGCCCACCGCCCAAGGATGGGCTGGCGGTGAGCATCCTGAGCGCCAGTGGCCCTCGGAGCATTCCTTTCACTCTGCGGTCGAAATGCCTGCGCGCGCTTCGCGGGTGGTCAGCAGGGGGGATGTGCGCCCGAATCAGCTGTGGCTGCCCCCGCGCCCGCGACGACCAATTTCGTTCCGAATCGTCCTTCCCGTCCAGCTCCCCGTCCTCCCCCCCCCTCACTCCCCGATCTTGGCCTGAGCCCGAGGCACTCCGAAAAAGGGGGTCCTCTGGGTGCCGGTGTGGAACGGGGCAGGTCTGCCACCGCCCTGGGTAAACCTGCGCGGGTGCGGGCTGAAAGCGCGTCCGCCTGCTCGTCCTCGTCATCACCGCCGCCGCTGTCCTCCTCCGTCCTTCTCCTGGCGATCCACTGGGGTGTTTCGGCTTTTCTTGTTGGTCGTATGCCCCACCGTGCTACTTCATATGTGTGTTGGTTTCGTGGTATCGCTATGTCATGCGCACCGTGGGTCGCTGGTTATGCTTTTCGTGAACATGGCTTCGTCGTTCTTCCACTCGACTGCGTCGTTGACGAGGGCTAGGTGCAGTGTTTTTTTCCTCTGGGCCATCGTTGTCTTCCTCGCGGGCTTCGTGGTGGTGCTGGCCTGGCCTGAACAGAAGGCAATGCGCGCGGCGTTGAAAGAGTCCTCCAGATCCTCCTCATCCCTCTTCCTCTCCCTCTCCTCCTCTTCCACCCTCCTCCTCCTGCCTCCATTTTCTCCTCCGTACCGACTCTATGACAGATTCCATGTCCTCCCTCCCCCGCCTCCTCCTGCTCCATTTCCTCCATCCTCCTTCTCCTCCTCGTCCGAGGAAGAGGGGGGCGGGGACCCTCTTTGCCAATTTGCTGAATTCCGAAAAGAACCATGAGAAGGAGGTGGGCAGGAGCGCACGTAACTTGAACCCACGGTGATCCAGCTACTGCCAGCGTTCTAACACCACATTGCGGCGAGAGCAGCGGCTCGCATTTGGTACTGGTATGCAGGCGAGGGGGCACGGGTGCTGCGCGCCACGTCACTCTTCAGCTTGTCATACATTCGGAAACTCAACACGACAATGTCGTGACAACGATGGCGTGGGTATTTCGACCCCACGTCCGGCGAGGGGCCGAAGCCAAGACGACTGAGGGGGCAGGCAGGAGGATGGCACGAGGGAGAGCGAGGAGGTGGAACACGCGAGGGCACGAGAGATAATGGAACATGGAATCGGTGTCTGTATATTCGAGAAGACACCGACGAGATTGGGCACTGGGGATACGAGCTGACGTCGTCCAGGCGCCAGCAAGTGCCTTGAGGTGGGCCCAGGCCCAGGACGGGGGAGTGTGCTCCAGAATCTGGCGAAGCGCAACCCATCTCTGGGTCAGCTCTGGGAGCGGGGGCACTGAGGGGATATGCAGACTGGGTTCCATGATCTCCATGTTCCCGAGGGGGTCCTCCGGAACATGGTCAACGATCCACCTCTGGAGACGGCGGCCTAGGAGCGAGAGGGCACAATCAGGGAACAACGAGGAGGAGAGGGAGTGGACGAGTACTCGCTGCGGCCGCGGGCGGCGCACTTCCTCGCCAGCGCACCGAATATCATCGCGCGCCGCCGCCGTCGCTTTCCGCCACGCGTCCCCAGGGATCCCCGAAGCATGGGACGCGGCGGGTGAAACACTGGCGGAGAATTCGCAGATGCTGGCCGGGTTCGCCCAGCAATGAGGGCTAAGGCGCCCATCGCGACGCGTGGGAGACTCCCAAACATCTCAGCCTGCGACCACAGAATGTCAAGCGAGGCCCTCCGCCCACCCTCCACGAATTTACGAGGCGTGTGAAATGCCGCGCGCCACGCTGAAGCACCACACATGACTCCAAGCGAACGTGGGGTGGCCGAGGCAAGCCGATTGATTACCTGCGCTGAGAAACTCAGCGATGCCAAAGGAATCGGGGGGGAGGCGAAAGAGCCGGTGGAGGACGCGATGTTCTGCGCGGAGGAGGGGGGGCGGGGGGAGGGAAGAGCTGGCATAGGTAGCTCAACGCAGTGATGGCGCCAGAAATATAGATGCTGCAGCTGGCTTCCACGGGGGATCGGACAGGGCGATTTCCCGAACTCGTTCGCGCCGTTCTCGCGCGGGTGCCGCCCACTGGGCGTCGAGCTCCGCCGCCGGGCCGAACTGCATGCCAAGAAACTCGGCGGATCCAGCGAACTTGAAATCAGTCCATGCTGGGATGAGGGTCGGGATCTACTGACGATATTGCTGCACAGCGGCGTCCGAGCACTGCTCGGCCGAAGAAGCGATGGCGCACCTCGCTGGCTGCAGAGAGAGGTGGGCAAAGGTGCGGGCGGCGACGAAAGGAAGGGAAAACAGAGGAGACCGATGGAAGGGCACGTCGCACCCACATCGTCCGCCGTCGCACCACGCTCCGGCTCGAGCTTTGGAACCCACCGGCATGGCCCCGGGCGCATCACACGAGCCTGCTGAGACACCAGCTGGTCTGCAAGGTGCCTCAGGAACGGCCCCATGATCAGAGCCCACAAAGACCCCGAGAGGGGGCACCCCTGGGCAACTCTGGAGTTCACCAGGAAGAGGGGGGGTTTCGCGGAACCGTAGCGGGAATGGGGGAGCGCCCCTGAGCGAAGACCGGCTATCAGATTCGCGTAGCCTGTCGGCAACCGGTGCTTAGCCAGGACCAAGGAGAGGAGAACTTGGGAGAGCGAGGGAAAGGCAGCACGAATGTCAAACGAAACAGTAAGTGGCAAAAGGGAGGGATGGTGACCAGCAGTTCGGGCGACCGTATCCTGACGCACGATGTGCGAAAGAAAGGCGCGGCCTCTGATGAAGCCTCGTTGCGCGCCGTGGGCCCGCTCAGCGACCAATCGCGCCAACTGGGCGTTCACCGTCGCCGCCATCGCCTTCGCGTCCGAATTCTTCAGGGAGAGGGGTCGCTGCGGGTGACGTCCAAGATGCCCGTCGGGTCGGCGCCCTTGGGAACGAAAGCCACGCTCGCAGAATTTAGCCCCCACGGGGCCGGCCAGCCCGCGAAGAGCTCCAGCATGAGGTCACGCAGGGCGTCGGTCAGGCGATCGTCCACGAGCCAGGCCGCGGCCCGAAGGCGGTCGGGGCCTTTAGGGGGCCTCTTGGGCTCTGTTTCTTGGAGCCTCCTGCGGGCCTTTTGGGGCGGAAGGCTCGAATTGTCGGTTCGTCTTCCCCCTCTTGGGGCCGTCTTGGGGCCCTCTTGGGCGACCTTGGGCGCCTCTTGGGCCGTCTTGGGGCACTCTTGGGCCGCCTTGGGGCTCTCTTGCGCCGTCGTGGCGCCCTCTTTGGGTGCCCTTTGGGCTATCTTGAGCTGATTACTGGGGCCTCGTGGGCTGTCTTGGACCGTCGGAAGCACGGAACAGCGAGAACACGAAAAACCTGCACAACAACCATAGTAAAAACACCTACTTGTTTCGCCTCCTGAGTGCCTCGTGGGAGTCCTTTTGAGGGCATCTTGGCCGTCTTGAGGCCCTCTCGGGCTGTCTTCGAACCATGTTGGACCAATTTTGAAACGCTCTTGTGCGGTCTTGAGCTCTCTTGGAGCGCTCTTGGGCCATCTCGGCGCCCTCTTGGACGTCTCCCGGCCCCTCCAGTCGCCCCTTTTCAGGTCCTTTGACGTTTTTTGGCGCCCCCCGCCAGGCCCGAAACGGCCTGAAGACAAATCAGTGCAGCATTCAGGGGCCCCCGGGACCCCCCCCCCATTTACATATATCAGAGTGGGGAGGCTGAACCGAACGGTCATTCACTGTCCCTGGGTGCGTGGCTGAAGTGGAATTCCGCGATGCGGATTCTGCTTGATGTTGATGTTGTTGTTGAACATTATTTATTCTAAAGAATAATTATAGTTGGGCCCCCTGGTGCGCGCCCCCCCTGCGCCGCCTAGGCCGCAGCTACATTTTCATCATTTTCGTTAGGAAGCCTCAGAAAAGATGGTGTGTACAGGATCCGGTTGTTTTGTTGTAATCAGCTTTCCCTTGCAAAAAACAATAGAAAATGACATTTCTTGTTCTAATATAATCAAATTTCAAGAATCCCTTGCAAAAAAATAGGTAAAGTGGACATTCGCGCGCGCAAGACGAAATCCTTCCAAAACCTTAGTGTTCGCAGCGATTTTAACATAAAAACATCAAAAAACCAATGGTTTTTCAACAAAAATGTCAAAATCTCATCCCGCGCGCTCTTGCGGATTCGTAGGAAACCCAACACTTTTTAAACATTTCTGTCAAACGGGCTTTTGCGAGCAACTTTTTCGAACTTCTGCGACAACGGTTGCGCACCTGCCAGGGCCATCATCCCTGTCAAATAATACCATGCGGGACACATTCGTTTTTTCTTCGCGCGCGCACGCCGTCGTCGTCGGCCGCGGGGCCCTGAATAGTAGCCACGGTCGTCCGCATGCCACGAAGTGAAGTGTCCGAACGTCATAGGGCGGGAAGCTGGGTGTGGGTGGTGGCGAAGAGTCGTTTGGAAATTTGGTAGAGCTTGAACCGGCCCCCCCACAAAGTGGGGGTATTGCCCGCCTCCTATGAAAACCCAGGCACTGGTGAGAACGGTGTGTCCCCACGTGCTGGTAATTGTTGTTGTTGTTGTTGTTGTTGTTGTTGGTGTTGTTGTTGTTGTTGTTGTTGTTGTTGTTGTTTTTGTTGTTGTTGTCGTTGTCGTTGTCATCGTTGTTGTTGTTGTTGTTGCGTTTGTTGTTTGTTGTTTGTTGTTCTCGTCGTCCCACCCGCGACCCGCCCCGCGACCCACTTGCGACCCACCCCGCGACCCACCCGCGACCCACCCGCGACCCACCCGCGACCCACCCGCGACCCACCCGCGACCCCTCCCGCGACCCACCCCGCGACCCCCCGCGACCCCGAGACACCCCCGGCACACCCCGCGACCCACCCCGCGACCACCCGCCACCCCGACCCTCCCGCGACCCACCACCCGCGACCCACCGCGCCCACCCCACGCGACCCACCCCCACACCCGACCCACCCGCGAACCCGCCCACAGCGCGACCCACCCGCGACCCACACCGCGACCCACCCCGCGACCTTCCCGCGACCCACCGCGAACCCCCCGCGACCCCCCCGCGACCCCCCCGCGACCCAAACTACGTTCACTGAACAAACCAAAACTTCGGCGCCTGCGGCGGGCTTCTTTTGCATTCGTTCCAGGTGGTGGAGAACCTGCGACCCAAGGGGCTGGCGGGGTCGTCGGGCGCGCCGGTGCCCGCGCGCAGCCTGGCGCACTCCTGGGCGACATTCTTGGGGCCCCA